AGTCCAGATCTTTGCCGTGTTGTCATAGGCGCCCGTGAGCAGGAAGTTGCCGTGATTGGCTGCGGGCAGAGGAGGATGAGAAAAAAGAAATGAGAAAAAAAAAATAATTAGATTTTCAAATAAAAACGTGACAGATCTTCTCCGCTAACCAGGCCTTTTGGACCTGAAGGTGTGGTTTTTGAGTTGCCCCATCCCCTGCCACCTCAGCTTAGGACAGGCAGGATAAGGAATATCAGGCAGGAGACACTTACGTTCAAATTTGACCCCCGTGACCAGGTTCTGATGGGCAGGGATGGTGTAGATGCACTTCCTCTGGCGGAGGTCCCACACCTTGCAAGTGTTGTCACCGCTGCCCGTGGCCACGTGGTACCTGCCAGGGGGCAGAGGAAGAACACGTCACCGTTTGGACTCGGAGCTCCTTTGTAAACCATGCAAGGCCCTTTCTTACCCGTTTGGGGAGAAGTTCACCCCGTAGATCTCCTTCAGGTGGCCTTCTAGAAACATGATGCAGCGTCCCGTGCGCAAGTCCCACACCCGGCCAAAGGCATCCAGGCCTCTGAGAAGACAGAAGCCCAGGAAAGACATTGAAGTGCTGGAGCGTGTCCAGAGGAGAGCCACCAAGCTGGTGAGGGGCCTGGAGAACAAGTCCTATGAGGAGAGGCTGAGGGAACTGGGCATGTTTAGTTTGGAGAAGAGGAGGCTGAGGGGAGACCTCATTGCCCTCTACAACTACCTGAAAGGAGGGTGTAGAGAGGCAGGTGTTGGCCTCTTCTCCCAAAGGACGAACGACAAGACCAGAGGAAATGGTCTGAAGTTGGGGCAGGGGAGATTTAGATTAGATATTAGAAAGAACTACTTTACTGAGAGGGTGGTCAGGCCCTGGAACAGCCTGCCCAGGGAGGTGGTGGAGTCACCACCCCTGGAGGGATTTAAGAACCGTGTAGACGTGGCTCTTCAGGGCATGCTCTAGTGCCCAAGGTTATTGGTTTAAGGTGAGGTGTTGAGTGTGGGGTTTAGTTGGTGGGTGCGGTGTTTTTGGTGGGCGTTTGGTGTGGTGTGTTTTGTTTTGGGTTTTTTTGGTTTTGTTTTGGTTTTTTTGTTTTGGGTTTTTTTTGGTTTTTTTTTGTTTGTTTTGGTTTGTTTTTGGTTTTTTGTTTTTTTGTGGTTGGACTCGATGATCTCAGAGGTCCCTTCCAACCACTAAGATTCTGTGATTCTGTGAATTACCCATCAGAGACTTCAGCAGCTGCTGGAGCACCCTCAGCCTCACCTGCGGAAACCGCTGGGGCATCAGGCAGCAACAAAACCTCGATGGGATCCCACGTGCAGTCGTGCTGCCAAGCAAACTCACCCCGTGCCAGCGAGAGACCCGTCCGTGTGGAAGGCAATGTCATAGACCCCTTTGCTGTGCCCCTCCTGATGGAGAATCTCTTCCTGAGCTTCCAAGTCCCACAAGCGCCACGAGTGATCGTAGCTGGAAAAACAAAGCATTTGTCCAACTAAATGTATCTCCGAGGAGAATAACGGGATAAGGCTGGACATGAGCAGGCAGTGGGCAGCTGCAGCCCAGAAGGGCAATCCCATCCTGGGCTGCATCAAAAGATGTGTTGCCAGCAGGTCCAGAGAGGGGATTCTGCCACTTTACTCTGCTCTGGTGAGACCTCACCTGGAGTATTGTGTGCAGGTCTGGAGCCCTCAATATAAGAAGGACGTGGACCTGATGGAGAGGGTCCAGAGGAGGGCCACAAGGATGATCAGGGGGATGGAGCACCTCTGCTACGAGGACAGGCTGAGGGAGCTGGGGTTGTTCAGCCTGGAGATGAGGAGGCTCCAGGGAGACCTAATAGCAGCCTTCCAGTACCTGAAGGGAGCCTACAGGAAGGCTGGGGAGAGCCTGTTTACAAAGGCCTGCAGTGACAGGACGAGGGGCAATGGCTTCAAGCTGGAGGGGAACAGATTTAGACTGGAGATGAGGAGAGGGTTCTTCACTGGGAGGGTGGTGGAGCACTGGAACAGGTTGCCCAGGGAGGTGGTTGAGGCCCCATCCCTGGAGATATTCAAGGAGAGGCTCGACGAGGCCCTGGGCAACCTGGTCTAGTTGGGGGTGTCCCTGCTGACTGCGGGGGGGTCAGACTAGATGACCTTTGGAGGTCCCTTCCGGCCTGGGAAATTCTATGATTCTATATTTCACTAATTCCGTGGGCTTTTTATTTCCAACTGGGGACCAGGAGGGTCTGACGTGAGGGGCAGAGAAAGGAATCCCAATGACTTGTGTTATTTACACTGCGACAGCCCAGCTGTCAGCAAGAATGGCCAACCCTTGCCCTCGCTGTGCTCCTCCGTGGCCAAGCAGCGGTCCCCGCTGGGCTACCAGCCAGGCAGCTGGTGGGAACATGTCACAAAGCACATAACCCCCTCTCCGTACCAGGTGGTGCCCAGGAACCTCCCAGACGGGTGCCACATCACACGGGACACTCGCATGCTGTGTCCTTCGATGTCTGCCACCGGCTCATCACTGAAAAACAGAAAGAGAAACGGTGGGACACTGGTCAGAGGTGGCCAGTTCTAGCCAGGCCTTCGCAAACATCGCGGTGGCAGCAAGAGAGGTGCTAATTAAACACAAGCATCAGAGTCTTCACTAATGACTCCGAATTCTGCCTTTTGTTCACACAGCTAGAGCTCCAAGTGAGACCCCTTGACCCACATTCACATTGGTTATAAAGTTCTCCTGGGATAATTATTTCTTGCCAATCAACAAGGCGCTCGTTAATAGCACTTGGAGAGAACTAACAGCAGAAACAAAGCACGGGCTCCCTGGGCAGCAGGGAGTTTTCCTGCCGCTCCACAGAACACACCCCAAACTACAGCAAATCCAGATATTCCAAGGAATCCCAGGGCAGGCAGAACAGAGTATTTCTTCTCCCAGAATTACAGGCAGCAGGAGAAATTATTTCTTCTCCCAGAATTACAGGCAGCAGGAGAAATTATTTCTTCTCCCAGAATTAGGGCAGGCAGAACAGAGTATTTCTTCTCCCAGAATTACAGGCAGCAGGAGAAATTATTTCTTCTCCCAGAATTACAGGTAGCAGGGCAGTTGCCTTCAGCAGGAGACCTGAAGAGCATTTAAGAGTTTCTTTCCAGCAGACCAGTTAGAGATGTGCTCACATGAGACTAATTACCAAGCTGTCCCTTCACACAGGTCTGCTCCTGCAATTAGAAACGGTGCCTTTCAGCTAAGGATAAACAACGGAGGATGTGGGAGCTGCTCTGCAGGGCTCTGCTTTTCAAACAGGGCCAACGTTCAGTGTCTACACCCTTCTCTTCTTCACAGGCTCCAGACAGATGCTGTGCATCTTCCAAAACTACACTGTGCAAGGACAGAGCCATTTGTTTTTACTCCTGAATGATGTATGGTCCATGGGCATGTATTTATCTGGTTGGTCCCTCTCTGAATACTGGTATTTCCCAATAACTCTGAAGTTCATTTTTTAATATCCAAGAGGGGAAATTTTCTTCTAAATAAAAGGTCAGAATGAAACAATCTCCAAATCTTCCATCCATCACCCAAAGCAGTTTATTGATGCCCAGCAGCAATTCTGACTTGATTCTTTTCAGGCCATTTCCCCTCACCTCCCCCTACTCAGGGGGATCTCTTTTCCTGCAGAAGAAGGTGGCACATACTGAGGCCAGGAATTGCACTGGTGTAACGACAAGAAAAGGTTCTATTTGCAGGAGGATGGTAAATGTCCAATGGTTAATAACACAAAATAACCCCCAAACCAGCAATGTGTCCTGGCTGGTATCGTTCTGACCTTTCGAGGCTCCAGAGTTTGACAGACCCGTCGGCCGCGCAGGAGGCCAGATTCACGTCCTTCTTGTCCAGGGAGATGGTGGCTTTGGGATGGAAGACTATTGCTCCCACGTTGGTGTTATGTCCTTAAGAGAAAGGAAAATCAACATTCATAACCTGCTCCATGAACTCGGCCTGTTCTTCAGAAAAACAGCATTTCGTTGTTACTAATTAGTCAGGTACCAGTGAACACTTTCACTGTCCTCCCACCTTGGGTGAAGTTGCCTTGTAGCTACCAGCCACATCCCAGACACATCTCTCCTGCAAACAGCTAAACTGCACTTCCAGCAGCACCCACGTTTGTAACCCTCAAAACGTAGTGAAAATTCAACACATGAATCAAGAGATTTGTCCTTACATTTGTCTTTAGTTGAAGTTGTGACCACTGTTCAAGGGTGAGGTAGACTGAGAGCTGGCTGTGACAGAACTAAGAGGGTTGTGATTAATGGACCAGGGTGGAGCTGGAGGCCTGTAACCAGTGGTGTCCCCCAGGGGTCAATACTCAGCCCAGTCTTGTCCAACATATTCATCAATGATCGGGGTAAGGGGACAGAGTGGACCCTCAGCAAGTTCACTGATGTCACCAAACTGGGAGGGCTGGCTGAACACTCCAAAGGGCTGTGCCACCATCCAGTGTGACCTGAACAGGCTGGAGAGCTGGGCAGAGAAGAACCTCATGAGATTCAACAAGGGCAAGTGTAACCCCAAACCAGCAACGTGACCTGTCTGGTATCGTTCTGACCTTTCGAGGCTCCAGAGTTTGACAGACCCGTCGGCCGCGCAGGAGGCCAGATTCACGTCCTTCTTGTCCAGGGAGATGGTGGCTTTGGGATGGAAGACTATTGCTCCCACGTTGGTGTTATGTCCTTAAGAGAAAGGAAAATCAACATTCATAACCTGCTCCATGAACTCGGCCTGTTCTTCAGAAAAACAGCATTTCGTTGTTACTAATTAGTCAGGTACCAGTGAACACTTTCACTGTCCTCCCACCTTGGGTGAAGTTGCCTTGTAGCTACCAGCCACATCCCAGACACATCTCTCCTGCAAACAGCTAAACTGCACTTCCAGCAGCACCCACGTTTGTAACCCTCAAAACGTAGTGAAAATTCAACACATGAATCAAGAGATTTGTCCTTACATTTGTCTTTAGTTGAAGTTGTGACCACTGTTCAAGGGTGAGGTAGACTGAGAGCTGGCTGGGACAGAACTAAGAGGGTTGTGATTAATGGACCAGGGTGGAGCTGGAGGCCTGTAACCAGTGGTGTCCCCCAGGGGTCAATACTCAGCCCAGTCTTGTCCAACATATTCATCAACGATCGGGGTAAGGGGACAGAGTGGACCCTCAGCAAGTTCACTGATGTCACCAAACTGGGAGGGCTGGCTGAACACTCCAAAGGGCTGTGCCACCATCCAGTGTGACCTGAACAGGCTGGAGAGCTGGGCAGAGAAGAACCTCATGAGATTCAACAAGGGCAAGTGTAGGGTCCTGCACCTGGTGAGGAAGAACCTCAGGCACCAATAGAGGTCAGGGGTGGATCTCCTGGAAAGCACTGCTGAGGAGAAGGATCTGGGGGTCCTGGTGGGCAGTGAACTCTCCATGGGCCAGCAATGGGCCCTTGTGGCCAAGAGGCCAATGGGATCCTGGGCTGCGTAGGGCAGAGTGTGGCCAGGAGGTGGAGGGAGGTCATTCTCCCCCTCTGCTCTGCACTGGGGAGGCCACAACTGGAATCCTGCCTCCAGTGCTGGGCTCCCCAGTTCCAGAGGGACAGGGAACTGCTGGAGAGAGTCCAGCGTAGGGCACCAGAGATGATGGAGGGATTGGAGCATCTCCCTGCTGAGGAAAGGCTGAGAGAGCTGGGGCTCTTGAGCCTGGAGAAGAGAAGGCTGAGGGGAGACCTTCTTCATGCTTCCAAGTGTCTAAAGGGTGGGTTGAAGGAGGATGGAGCCGGACTCTTTCCAGTGGTTCCCAGGGACAGGACGAGGGGCAACGGGCACAAGCTGGACCATGGGAAGTTCCACTGCAATGTGAGGAAGAACTTGTTTGGGGTGAGGGTGGCAGAGCCCTGGCAGAGGCTGCCCAGGGAGGGTGTGGAGTCCCCTTCTCTGGAGATCTTCAAGCCCTGCCTGGATGCTCCTGAGTGCTGTGCTCTGGGCAGCCCTGCTTTGGCAGGGGAGTGGGACTGGATGGGCTCTAGAGGTCCCTTCCAACTCTGACAATTCCATGATTCCATGAACCTCACTGCTGTTATGTGACCTGGCCAAAAATGCTGATACTTGGCTTAAAATGACTCAAACCAGGTTTTGAAACCAAACAAAACAAGATCATTCAGAAAGAAAAACAACGAACTCAGGTCTTGGATCTAAGAGAAAGGCCAGGGCTTCCTCTTGATTATGAGACACGTGCCCATGCTCTGTGAGCCTGAGGGATGCTCTCATTAGAATAAAACCTGCCCAAAGAACACTGTGTTTTGAGTCACAAAGTAATTCAGATTTGGGAGCTCAACCCAGAGGGGAACCAAAGAACTAAGCAAAGAGTCTCAGTGAAAGTTGTTCTCTACCTCGTAAGGTGTGGACAAGGTTGCAGTCGGGCACGGACCAGAGCTTGCACAACCCACTCCTGTTGAACACAAGAAACAGACGTCAGCGTAGACAGGAATGGCAAAAAGAAGAGCTCAAACACAGAGCTCCAAACCCTCCCGGGGGGTTCTGCAATGGCTTAAAATACCACCACGCTTTGGGCAACCAACCACCCAGACCGACAGACTCAAACCTCTGCTAAGCTCTAAAATGGGGTGAAGACAGAGCTCAGAGCAGGAAGACATATAATTTCTGAACTCTCACAATTCACAGGTCTCCAATAACACCCTTCTCCTTCACTCCTGCTCTCCCAGCCCCTGCAGCAACTGCTGTGACAGAGAACATACCAACAGGCCGTAGCGAGGAGTTTGGAGTTGGGGCTGAAGTGGCAGTAGGACAGCGGGCGATCGTCTCCAATCTGACTGCAGAAGTTATTCAAGGACTGTAACCAAAGAAACAACAAATGAGTGAAGTACAAATGACCTGGTGAAAGCCCTGGCCAAAGACAGGAGGCCAATGTACTCAGGATGTGGCAGAGGCCTTTGGAAAGTCATTTTTAAAGGGAGGAACTACCTCAAAGCCACTCCAGCTCCCAGCAGGAGGGCCACCAAGGCAGCCTGGCCAACGTGAGCCAGCACGGCCCTGGGGCACAGCTTAGCTCACACTGTGCCACTCATGGTACTTGCCACCAACAGCCCCACAGGCTGCTTTGAAACTAGTTTTGACAGGGAAGTTACTGTAGCTTTGGCCTCTTCCTACAACTCACCCAAGGGATACCAGCAGACAGAGCAGAGCAGGCGGTGCGCTCAGGGGAGAAGCAAATCCTCTGGCAGCTAATGCCCCTGGGCGTAAGCAGGATTAGAGAGCCAGCACTCTGGGCTTGAGCCTCTCTGCTCGGTTAAGCCAGGGGAATCTGACTTAACATGCTGGAAAAGGGCATCTCAGAGTCATCTACAACATGGTTTGCATTCCTGCGTTGGTTCTTATCTCCCTGGGTTTTATGCACTAGTGACCGTTGTAGCGGAAGAAGGTCCTTCCACAGGTCCCTTCCCCGCCAGCAAAACCTGTGACAGAGCCAGGAATCAACCCCTTCAGCTTCACAGGCAACGCGGGGACGGCTCCTCATCCCTCTGCCTCCCCAGGGGACAACTAAAGTACATCTCTCTGAATCGCTGAAGAAAGAATTAGAACAACTAACCTAGTGGCCTTCTATGATAAAGTGACTTGGTCAGTAGACAAGGGGCAACCTATGGATGTCATCTATCTGGATTTCTGTAAGGCCTTTGACACGGTCCCCCACAACATCCTGATTGCCAAATTGGAGGGGTACGGATTTGATGGGTGGACTGTTCAGTGGATAAGGAACTGGCTGGATGGTGGCATCCAGAGGGTGGTACTCAGTGGCTCAAAGTCCAGATGGAAACCAGTCACAAATGGTGTTCCTCAAGGGTCCGTGCTGGGGCCGGTGCTGTTTAACATTTTTATCAATGATATAGACAGGGAGATTAAAGGCACCATCAGCAAGTTTGCGGACAATACCAAGCTGTGTGGTGTTGTCGATACACCAGAGGGACGGGATGTCATCCAGAAGGACCTGGACAGGCTGGAGAGGTGGGCCCAGGTGAACCTCATGAGGTTCAACAAGAGCAAATGCAAGGTTCTGCACCTGGGCCGGAACAATCCTCGCCACCAATACAAACTAGGGGGTGAGGTGTTGGAAAGCAGCCCTGAGGAAAGGGACTTGGGGGTTCTGGTGGACGAGAAGCTGGACATGAGCAGGCAGTGTGCAGCTGCAGCCCAGAAGGCCAATCGCATCCTGGGCTGCATCAAAAGAAGCGTTGCCAGCAGGTCCAGAG